GGAGGGGGGGGGGGGAAAAATATATTAGATATGAGCTTTTTTTTGCTTGCAGTAAGCAAATATGGCTGCCAGTGCACTCAAAATAAGTCAGGATTCCAATGCTACCAGAAGTCTTAAAACAAGATTAAATTACTTAAATTAATATTTTTGGTATTCTTGTTTCTTTGTTTGTTTGAACCTACAATCTACAAGTTGGGAGATGTGTGCTAACTATTGAGCCACCATCCCAAGAGACTACTGGTGTTGTGTCTCTAACCACAGCAATGTTGATCAGCTGGGTCTACCATTTGATCCACACTGAAATATCTCATCAACTATTTTATACAGAGATTCATATCTCATATCATTTTACTTAGGTATGGAAAATTAAATAGATTCATCTGAACTTGGCTTTATTTCCACTGCTCTGTAGGTGATGCTTGTCTCTATGAATCAATCAAAGGCTCTGAAGACACTGAATATGGTACAGTATATCACTTTGATCCAGACTGTAATATATCAACTGTTGTACAGACCTCATGTTCCCCAGAAGACCCACGGTCTTATTTCTACCATCAACAATAATCAACAATAATTAGATGGATTGGGGCAAAAACTACTACTTATTGAAGCATGGCATCAATAGCTCCACCTTGTGGCCATTGATAAAACACCACAATATGTTTTGAATGCATTGTTTATCTACATTATTTTGAATTGACATAAAACAACTAGAAAAAATAAAATCATCCTGTCTTGGCTTGGAGGGGGATGGAGGTCTCAATATGATCTGATTTAAGGGGACTGATTACAAGGGATTAATATAAAATCCTCTAACTAAAGAATATGTATATTTTAAATGCAGATAATGTCCAGGATGTTGCCTTCAATTGAACATAAAAACATTTAAAAAAACGGTGAGTACCCCAAATAGTTGCAAAATAGACTCAAATAGAATACTTTAGAGATTTTTTGACAATAAGATTTTTTTTTGTCTGATTGTCTTAACAGGAAAGCAACATGAACCAGAGGAGAGCTCTGTTTACTCTAATGTGAAGATAGGAACTGCTGTCATGCTCAGAGTTTGTATTGAAATTATCACACAGGAGGTCATTATGGGTCAGCATGCAGTTTAATTAATGTCAGTCACTAGCTACTACCACTAGATGTCAAAAAAGGTTTAATTTCAGAAAAGTTACACATATATATGGCCTTTCAGACTTTTGACTATTTTCCGTCTCACAGATATGACGTAAAGCTAGATTGTTTTTTTCTTTTTTTTGAAGTATATTGTACGACTGTGTATTGTACTTATTTTAACATGCTACTTTACAGTTGTGAAAAAACACAAGAGCATTCCGCTTTTTAAAAAATATTATTAATTTTTATTTTTTATTTTTTTTATTGTTGTATTATGATTTACAATTATGTGTTGTATGAAGTTTCTATTATTATTATTATTATTATTATTATTCAGGTGATTGTACAGCTTTAAAGTCGACATCTTTTGCATCAATAAACAATTTTTCCAGCAGTGAGCTGTCAGTTGTGTTTTTAATTGTAAATTTGTTCTTAATCTCAATTAAGGACAACAGAACAAAACACATGCAACAGTTTATTTCTGTGTTTTGTTCATTTACTTAGATTTTACCTTGATGCATTTGATATCTGAAGTGGTTGTAGTAATATATGAGGTAAAAACGCATTTCAAATTACAGATATCTTTAAACCATCTTATAAGTATACAGCCCTCATAAAGTCTTAAAAAAGAAAAATAAAATGTTGTAAAACAATAACACAAACACAGTAAGTCTTGATATTTGGTCTTTCTTTTAGATTAATGTCTGATAAGAAGTTTTAAATTTGCCAAATGAAATGAATAATTTTGCTTCTTTAAAGTTGCAATATGTAAGAATTGGTTCAGCTCAACCTTCTGCTGTGTTACTGTCGCTGTCCAGGGTGCTGATCCTGGATCACCCAGGAATACTGAAGCTGTCCTGGCTGATGATGCCTGTTGTTAGCACTGATGGGCAGGGTTACAATTAGTGCTGTTTGCTCTATAGGAATTTTAATTACATAATAATGCAACACGCTGATAGGAGGAGAGGAGTAGGCTTTGTAACTGTGTCATCCTTTAATGGATGGAAACTGGACGACATGTTAGTAGAAATATGTCCAGAGAGAGAGAGAGAGAGAGAGAGGAGATAAAACTGTTTGATCATACTGGTCATAATGTTATTTGATCAGTGTACCTATAAATAAAGATATAACATTATTAATTTTATACATACAGCACACACCCAAAATACAGGCACTGGTGGAACAACAGTTGGAATATACTGCATAACATGCACAAATTAACAATAAAATTATACTATACGGTGTAATAAGATTAAATTTAATGGTCTCATGTTTCATAGATGTACAATATTTTTTTCCACACACACACACGCACGCACATACGCACATGGACACCGATTCAAACGTTAATGTAAATGAAACCTCTGATATTACAATCCTTCTAGCTGACGGGACCCAGGCAGAACAAACGGCCAATTTACAGTGGCAGATTAATGAGGACTCCTGGCAACTAGCAGACGGTGTGCAAGATGGATGACAGCGGGACGGCCAATCACACAAGAACCGGCAGAGCCAATCGAGGAGCTTGTGGGCGGGTCTAAACTAAGGGAGACAGGCTTCAGCTTGAGCGGCCGTTTTCCGCTTGGTCCTAGTGCTTGACGGGTCTCTGTTTACTATAGCGTAACATTGTTTTTGGACGGTAAAAACTGCAGGGGACCAAAACGGCCTTTTGAAAAAGTGCAGGGGACATGTCCCCTGCACTTTACAATTAGCTCAAGGGGAGATTTGGAGGATTTTCACCTAGAATAACCCATTGACAATTTGTATGACAACTAGTGTAAAATAACAGACTCAAAGTAAAATATGTTTTCTAGTGAGCAAAAAAAACTACTTACAAATTCTGTATGAAATTATTTGCAACCTTGATATTGTGACAGAGAATTGAGATGATTTTTATTTAGTTGATTAGAGTTGATAGACAGGTGCCTAACATGCATTTATGTTATGTTTCAAAGGGAAGCTTCCAAGCTGATCTTAAATGTAAAGAGGGAAAATAATGTAGACGTTTTTTAACATGTATGTATATATATTTCTTTGTTACTGCCATATGAGTGGCTCACAATAATACAGAGATGTTCTAGGCTAGGTCTAAGGCTACAGCAGAGTTCACAGTGTATGAACATTGTGCTGGCATGCGAGGGTCTTGCTGCCCAACAGCCGCCCACATGGACCGGCTGATGAAAATGAACTGAGACGGAGCATTAGGCTGTGTAAGTGCCTTCTTGGGGAAACAATATTGACTTTTAAAGGGCCGGGGACAGGGACAAGGGAAGGGCAGGCATGAAACAAAGCTTCCATGTAGGACATTCAGCGGTGCATGGAAAAGCATAGCTACAAGGTTAAATCAAAGTGCAGCAGACCGGCAACTAGCTGCTTAGGGAGGGTGATGCTGCAGTCAAGGTTCTAGCAATTCTGGGCAGAGAGCCTGAGTGCAGATGTGCGATCAGTGCACCAATGTTAAAAACTATGGTATTCAGGGAGCGGTATTAGCATAATGCAAAGGAAAGCACAGGTGAAGAGTGCAATCGAATTTCTATCCAGCTGACACAGACACGTTTGGTTACACATCCAGACCTTGTGTGAATACACTGACAGTGCCGATTCTATAAAAGTGCTCCTTCTTCTTATAATGATCACGTTCCCTTTATTGACAGGCCGGCTGCAACGGTTGGTATCGCTGGTGGAAAATGGCGCACAAGTCTCTTCGGCACATTCAGCGCACATTACTATGGACATGCAACGGCATTAACAGTGAATTAATGAGTCTGTGAAAACAAAAGTGATTTCCAGATAAATAAAGCAGCTGCACATGGGGTAGAAACAGTGGGAGGGATTTTCCACACCACAAAAATCCCCTGTGCATAATGTTGCCATATTGATTTCCCAGCAGTCAGTCTTTCACTTGGATGGTATTGTCACAGCCAGAGGCCCATTGTTTTCTGTTCTTTTCTTTTAATGTGGTAAATGAATGCTGTTACTGTTGATATGAACTCAAACACTTCCTGCATTTGCATCATAATAAATGTTTTTTAATTCTAAGGCAGTAATCAGCCTTAACCGCGAAACTAACCAAGTGATGGCTGGTTAATAAAAGTTAATTCAATAATTTTTTTGTGGATGTATTTTTGGGGTGTGTTTTGGGGTTTTTAAAAGAGTAAAAACGTAGAAAAATGTGGACCCACACATGGATGAAGTGGTTAAACGCAGAGGTGTAGGTTCTCAGTACTGTTTAAATTAAGTATCTGCGAGGAGGAACTGCGCATACCTTGCCATGCATGACAAAATAGCAAACCGTATGTTACATATGCAACACCATATGTTTGCGTTACGTTGGTGTGTGTTGTAAGAGGGTCATTCCCACACACTTATTCATAAAATATTCTGTCCCGAGTCTGTACTTTTGGTGTTGCAGGAAGAGGGAGAGAGCCAGCAATGATGTGCAGCCCTGATCAATCCTTAATCAATACACAAAAAGGACCCCTGTGGCACCCACATAATTGAGCACAATTACACAGGAAATCAAAGGGACAAGAGATGATGGCCCTCGGTATTCAACCAATGGCCAAGCTTCATTGGGGTGTACCGATAACACACACACACTTCATACACCCTATATTTACTCACTAGACAGTGATATCAAAACACAAAAGGTTAAAAACATCACTATCTATCCCTAAACACTCGCTGTTCATCCTCTGGGGTTCTCATGTGCTTTTGACTGAGTCTGTCTGACTGTCTGTCTTCTCTGTTGATATGTTTTTTTCTGTCTATATGACACGACCAGCTGTCTTTCTCCATCTTGTAGCAGGATAGCTTTCAATCCAACAACTACCTTAGCACAGTTCAGCGACAATATGCTTAAAAGCTGGCAGCTGCGTTCCAAGTATGCCAACCACAAACCTAAAAAAAAATAATAATAAATAAAAACAACCTTAATAAGACCTCTCCTAACAGAGCAATTGTGTTCCAACACAGGGTCACAATTTTAAAGGAGAACCATTTCCTACTTTCCTGGTCAGATGACCAGACAATGCTCAGAATGATCTCCATGTCCATGCCTGCTTTTTGGATACAACTAAATATCACTCAATCAGTCTGTTCGTACTGTACCTAATGCAGCTGTAGTGTTTGAAGGTGCTGGCAGCCTTTTGACATTCCAGACAGAGCTGGATGGCACCTGGGTAGTCCTCCTCCTAAAGGAACAGAGCAGTGAGGGTATGTAAAAAATACAATAGATTGACTGGGGTTGCATTTACAGTACAGTCTTTACTACAGTTTATAAAAAAAAAAAAAGGGAAAGGGAAAACACTATTCTAAATGATATAAGTGTTATGTGTGACTTCTTCTGTGCATTTTTTTTCTCATCCAGTTTGATCCTCTTAAAAACGGTTGTTACGGCAGATAGTCTGCAGATATACAGGGATTACACTCTGTGGTAGTCAAATCCATTGCATGTGCTACAGCTGACCTTCACAACAGATAGGCATTTGCCGGAGTGTCTAGTGTTTGTGTGGGTTTGTCTTTCAATGCAAAATCCCTACTGATGTTTGACCTTTCAAGTCAATTATAAACATTTCTCCCTGTGTGTCGATGTGTGTGTGTTTGTGTGCGTAGAGAGGATTACAATACCTCAAGCATCTCGCTGAGTCTGACATCTGTTCTTTGCTGTGAGGGGAAGAATGACAAGAAGAAGATGAATACAGCATTAAATCACTATCAGGACACAATAATAAGAGATAACTAGTTCAACGTTGGTTACGTGTTTTCCTACTGTGACCGATGTCTCTAATCTTTGGATGATTACTGCTTGAGCAATTGATCCAAAGCAATGAGAATGATTAAACAAGTATGTTTGTTAACTTTCATCTTAATTTTAAAATCATGTAGTGGAGGCACAGTTGCGAGTGATAGAAACATCAATTCATTTCACAAAGTGGCTGTCACACACCTTTATGCACTGTCAATTTTAGACTAAAACAGTCTTTAAACGTGGGGAAGGTCAGATTTCCAAGTGGATAAAAAAACACTCAACAGGCAGATTAAAATTGTATCTCAGGACTACAGTGTACATGAATTATGTTACAGGTCAGAAACATACATGAATCAACCATAATTGCACAAAAATAATTATGTCGATTACCGTAAGTAGCCAGGTTAACAGAAATAATTCAAAGGATCGCTTGTAGACAAGTTTCCAGCTTTTTTTCAATTACACTGACAATCTGTGCAGGGCATGGCAGTCATGCTGGCAGGTACGAATTTGGCTTTTGTAAGTTAACAAAATCAGAAACGACAAGCTCAACGCAAGGACCCAGTAAAAAGCATGCGATTACTTGGGACTACCTTTTTGAAGGTAGATCAAAGGTCAGCCTCAATTGTGAACCAGATTGTGAGTGCTCACTGTGATAAAGCCACAAGGATCCTTTTTATTAGTTTCTTCCTTCTTCCTTTACACAACGGCTAGATGCAGTTTGGAACAAGATATGTTGTACGTAAACCAAACTTTACCAGAGTCTTGATGGTCCTCAGTGACTTAAGGAGGCCTGTCAGCAGTTGTCGTCTCCTCTGATTGGCCAATAGACCCAAACTGGCTTCTGTGAATCCCTCCTTCGACACGCTCAGTTGTCTTCACACAAGATGTCACAGCACAGGGAGAATATAGCATCAATTCAGATTAATACTACTATGTACTGCATTGTAATGAGCTGTACACCTGGAAATATTATACACCAGTAGGATTCAGTATTAACTGCAGTCATTATGGCAGAGCTAATAGCACTTTTTTTATCGAAACCTGCATATTTGAAAAAATCATTGGTATGAATAATTTTGCTTTTGATATTTCAGGTTCACCAAACATGTACCTGAGACATGAATCATGATACCTGTGGAATATACAAAATGTAATATGGTGAAGAAATGACTACACTACAATATACAGTATACTATTACCACCTGAACTTTTAGGAACACTAAGACAAAATTCCTTGTCTTATCAGCCACAACAACATAATAAGAAGCCCAATAAACCAAGAAAAAACATAAAGATAAAAGCGAGCATCATGCATAGTGTTTTTGACTTTGTTTTAAGGGCAAACACATAGTTGTCAGTTGTCATTAACAATCATTTGGGACCATACTATAATATATATGATCATATAAGAATATATGAAAGGAAGAAATGTTATCACTGTTATGAGAAAAGCACTTTGTATGCAGATGCGGTTTGAATGGGCTATCGCAGCAGCTATTTCATTTAATAAATAGACAATATATATAGAACGTCATTACCTCCTTGCATTAGTGCAAATGACTGCTGCCAATTGCAGGTTAGTCTGTAACGCCGTCACCCGCTCCAGTTCCTGTGTATAAGGAGGTAAAAATTACAGTACATAAGAAAAAAGAATGATTTACTATTTGGCTATTATCTATCTACTGCTAAAAATTCTAAAATCATCTATAAAACTGAAGCCTAGCAAAAAGATATTGTTAGACTGGTTCATTTACGGTGCTGTCAATGAAATATACCGGTAATAATGCCTTTCACTGAGTAAATCATTTCCCCCACTAAGTACTGCACAGACTTGCACAGCAACGCTCGCACACACATTCATCAGAGCACTCTTCAGTAAGATGCATCCTGCTGTGAGCACTTTATGGAGATAGATATTATAGATGATGCTATTATGTAAGGCATGTATCATCAGCGCCCAAGTATAATGTCGTTCAAGAGAACAACTTTCGAAACATAAAGGAAATGAGGGAAAGCATACATTTCTTCATAGCATTGACATTTAAAAAAGGATCAATGAGCACCCGGCTCGGAGGGTTCACTTAATATGCCACTTGAATGACCTCTGTTGAGAACAAACACTCCCTGAGCCAAAGAAAGTCCGAGGGACAAATTGCATCGCAGTTATATTTTTGACTTTTCTCTTTCTCTCTTTGTTTTTATTTTCTTGATCTGCCAGATGTCATGCCTGAGGTGGGAGATGCTTGTTCTTTGATCTTATTTTTTTAATGTTGTATCCCCCTCCGCTAAAATGAGGTCCAGTGTTCACAAAAATGTTCTCATAACACTGTCAGACATAAAACAACCTTTTACCAAAAGAATATAGTCTGGGGAAATTCATTTTCAACGGTAATAAAAAAAACAACAACAACATCAAAGTGCCACTTCAGCTGTGGGTACGGGATCAATGATCCCATTCAAACCAATCAGCCCTCATGATCTTGAGTGTTGAAGAAGACCTTGACAGTCCTCCGAACAGTTTGCAAGAGTTGTTTCAATAGCCAGGGTTTTCTCTGAGGGGACATTCACCATGCGACTTTTATGCTTTTTAGCTCAGGGCCTGTGAACATATTCTATCACAGAACATTGTTAAAGTTAACACTTCACTGTCAGAGAGATCAATAAACTGCTTGCAGCTTTATAGACCTCAAATGATAATAGTTAATTATAATAGTTTTTCTATCATTAAGCTATCATTAACTTTGAATTTGTTCAACATTTTTGGAAATACACTTCTTTCTCAAGAGTTAGATAAGAAGATTGATGTCATTGTCGTATCTGTACGCTAAATATAAAGCTACATCCAGCAGCCTGGTGTCCTAGCTTAGCCTAGCATAAAGAGTGGAAACGGGGAAACAACTAGCCTGGCCCTGTCTGAATGCAACAACATCAAACTACCAGCATGATTCTTTAAAGTTTTTGGTGGTTTTATTTTTCATTTCTACTTGTTTTAGATAGTGATAGTGATAGCTGGAGAGAGACATGAAAGGCTGGGGAAAGAGAGAGGAGATGATATTCAGATGCAGAAAGGACTCAGTGTTGATACATGGTATGCACCATACCAGGTGAGCTCCTGGGGTGCCCAGCATCTAAAATAAATAACAAAGGCACAACTTTTTTTACATTTCAGGTACTAGTAAAGCCAGTATTACGAATATCATAACATTAATACAGTCAAGGACAATATATAGACATGGTAAACTCACTTGCACGCTCACAATGATGCTTTTGCAAATCAAATAGTACTCAGATATCTAAAAGCAACTGTCCATGAAGCCTTCACAGATCTAGAACCCAGAAACCTTTCTTAAATAAGTACATCAGCACTGGTCAGAACAGTTTATTAAAACATGAAAGTACCACGGTGGGCTCGGTACACTCAAACATATATTAAAATGTGTCCTCAGAAAATGTCGCAGTGGGAACTTGCTGGGACCGGGCTGACTCACCAGGACCAGCTGAGGAATAATTTAGAGACTGAATCAAGCAGATTGATTCACACACTGGGAGCAGTGCTGCCACAACTGTAAACCTCTACTATGTCTAGACATAGTAATAGAGTGAGATTCAAAAAAGCCAGACTCATCAAAAGGTTCATGGCGAAAGGGCTCAAGCTATGCGGGGCATTATTTCAAAATCCCAAACTCCTCCTGACTTCACCAGCATCGTGAGAGTGATGGAAAGTCTAAGTTGTATAATGGCTGACATGTATATTGGTCAGTGGTCAATAACTGTGTAGTTACAAAGAAGTGCACTCAAGGGTGAACCTGATCAAGAAGGGAGCATTTTTTCTTTCCCATGTTCTATGACTAATTTTCTTTTGCTTCGCCAAACAAACGCACACAGTCTGGCTCACGCCCTCTATCCATGACGCCCATTATCAACATGCAGGTATCGCTGTATCCAGCAGTTGGCCAAACACTTTGTCCATGATGTAATATAGAAATACTCATGCATTAAGTTATTTGCACAAATCCACACAGGAAAAGATAAAAAAAACAGCTTGAACAAACACATGCAGCTTCAAACAGATCACATACACACACACACAGACACACGTGGTCAACATGCTGAGTGCCTCGTATGTAGCCCGAGGCTCCGATTTGTTGTTATTTCGCTGCTGTGAGCCGTCTATCCTGTCTGTAAGCCACAGTTAACCTGACTGACAGAGGGCTCAATTAGCTTAGCTTATGGAAGGGGAAATACAGTAACTGTGTACACTGGTGGACTGACAATTGGTTAGTCAGTATTTAGTACATAACAGAGGTTAAAGAGCTGGTGTGCATGACTGGGATGAACCAATAAAAAAAAGAATAAAATACATGAAATAATACCTCAAGTAAAGAGAGGCTGAATTCCCCTATATAACTACACACAAATGCTGAAATACAGTGGATCTATATCTACTGTGCACACACAAGAAAGGTGAGCCTAATCAAACTATACAAACCAACTCCTACAGTATTCACAAACAAAGGCACTGGTGTGGGAAGTGAAGGTCAATGAGAAATTATTGTTTATCATATATTCATAAGTGGCCCTCCCTGCGACCCTCCAGCACATGGCCTATGCACCGGCTCCATGTTACCCATCCTGCCTACACATTCTAATGATGCTGCTGTCTGGGCCCTGCTCCTCCTTTGCCTTTGTGTATGAAGGTGAATGGAAAACAAATTTGAATGACATTTAGGACACACGAGTGCAGTGATTCACAGCAGGAGTTGACATTTTTTGCCTCCACCTTCACACACAATTACCAAAAGGGTATGTGACCATTCTAGCAAATCTACCACACATATCAACAACCCTGCTTCCTGTTAATCTATACCGATGAAACAACCCTCTACGTAATGATTGGTAAAGATTGGACAAATTACCAATCTCTTTTAAAGGACGAAACTGGGGAACACAAACAAAGGCACATGCAGTAACTGTTAATGAATAAGTGTTTCCAGTGGAAAATAATTGAATAGTCCAAATTCATTCCTTTCCAATGTTGCTGAGTGACCTGGTCAGGGCTACCTGGGATGAATTCATAAGAACTTGGCCTCCCCACAAGGTGATCTTTCTTTCCTGGCAAGTCTAAGGGTGGTGCACTGTGGATCAGTTACTGGCAGGTATTTGAAATTGTCCCATTATCCATTTTATTGATCCAGCTATTTAAAAATAATGTTACATCAGTCAACTTTAGAATACCAAACTGTAGAGGTATAAAGGTGAAAGAGAAGGGAAGAAAACTCGGGGAACCTGAAAAATATACACAATTAGTAAATCAACGGTCATAAATCAATGAATAATAACGGCTCTGGTCTCCATGTAACCTTCCACATGAGTTAGCATGATCACACTTCTGATCCTTTCTGAGTGCAAGCAGAGGCCACGTGTCACTAGAGGGCAGCAACAGTGGTAAGACACAGCTCCCAACAGAAGAAGGGTTAGTCGCTACACAGCTATGAATCACATCAGGCGCTTAGCGGGCTGTCATTTCAAGTTCTGAGGCAGGGGTGTACGTGTCTGCACAATTTATGTGTCCACCAATGTGTTATACACATCACGCGAGCACTGGAGAGAATTGGTATTTGGCCCTGTGGCAGTGTTTGTGCAGGAGTATGTGTTTCTGTGTACATGGTTGATAAAATATCACACGGCAGAGATAAGACGACTTGAGAAAGAATAATGGTGAAAACATAAGGGGGGAAACCAACGGAACTCCTCCTATAGATGCAGGTACATTGCAGCAAACACAACAGTGAGAGGGGCCTCAAAGAGGTCCCCATTTTTCAACTGCCTTTCATGATCGAAGGGCAGGATAAACCATATTGCAAGGCCGTATATACTAAACAAATCTGCAAATCAAGAGACAAGCACCAAGTACATCGCTGCTCTTGGCTTCCTTTGGTCTCTATTTCTTTCTGAAGGCTAGGAAATGATCTAGTTAAACTCTGCATTAATGCAGTGGATGTAGAAACTGAAGTGCCCTCCAAACTCCACAAGGCATTTGTAGTCCAAGTGAATCTGGACTGAGAAGGGTCAATGGAAGTGCCCCTGGAATCCCTGGCAACATCGACTAATAAGCCCTGCTGTCATTTTAACTCTGCAGAGTCACACAGAGTATCACAAAGATAATGATCAATTCACTATTCATAGACTGACCTTCAGATGGCTAAGCAATGATGGTAATTACACTGCAATTTCACAACATACCAAATACGTTAAAGCTGTCAGTCATCTGCTGTGTCTTGCCGGGATGCCACAAATCACTTAAAATGCAAGCAAAAATGTTTACCTAGTTACTGCAGCTGGCCTCAGCTGCTGCACCAGTGTCTGTATAGAGTTTCACTTACTAATAATCATTGATAGGCAAGATTATTAAACCTCCAAAAAAAGGTAGTAGGAGTCATTTCTCTTCTTTTATATGTAGGAGCAGGTTCAGAAAACTACTCTTAGCTCATGTTTTTATGGTTTGAAGGGTCAAGAATGTTGCATTTCTAAACAGAACGAGATCACATTGGTTCACTGCTGCCAAATGAATCAGATTAATCAGTTAAAAGAATCACTCTGACTCGTCACTGTAGCTAATGTAGTCTCCTGTAATTTCTAGTCCCTACTGGGTCTGACCAAAAATAGACTGATTATCCTCTTACTCGATATAAAGACATCATTACACACACTGGTTCATTTCATTTCATTGCAACATTACTAGGCGATCAAAGAAGGGATTTTATGGACTTGGTTTTAATTCACAACCTGACTATGCTCTGAATAAAAACTAGATTATTGCCCTCCTTTCCTTATCCATGGATGGAGTCAAATTACCCATTACCATGGTTACGGAAATTCTAGCATATCCTCTTGTCAGCAGCCGACCCAAGAATACATCCACTGATACTCTACTAATGTAAGTCATACAGTAAGTCATAATTTGAGAGAAGATGCCGTTAAAAAAACGACCAAAAGGTATTTATAACTAATAAAATACTACTTTAAGAGTGTGGCTGGGACAGAAAAAGACAAAAACAGTTGTTTAATGGGGTCGTGAGTTAACACTGAAAGCTTACCTTGACATAAGAAGGCTGTTTCTCTAGAATGAGATCGGCGACCTTTTTAGAAACCTAAGGAGAGGGAGAAAGGGGAGAGAGAAAGAAGAAGTTGAATATAAAAAAAAAAAAGAGTGAAAAGACATTTTGATGTTCTTCTGAAATGTCCCCCACAAAAACAGTTTGGGCAGTTTAATCTTGCTACTGAGGACGGAGCATGAATAACAACCACTGATGTCTGTATCTAAAGCGCAATATAGCCAAAGTCTTTTAAAAGAGTGTCTCCCTTTCTCAGTTTAGTTTCATTCAATGTCTTATTCAATAGCCTTACTCTTGTTTCTTTCAAAGAAGCATCTCTGTTCTCTCTGTTCCTATTGTGTTTTTTAATGTTCTGTCTTTTCCTTTGTGCCTTTTGCCAATTTTACTCACAGCTAAGGTAAAACTGTAATAATCAAAAGAGCATGTGACCTTCTTATGGCATAAATAAAGCGCAGTAAGCACTGCTATGAGATCAGTATGACCCCATGCTACGAGTGTTGCCCACCGTTGCTTTTAGTGGAGAAGGAAAAAGCTGAAGAACTTAATTAATGGTAATTGAAAGACGCGTAGCCTCGCTCACACTAAAGAGCCATACAAACAAGGTTGAACAAAGTAGAGCTTAACTCCTATTTATGACTCATTTAATACTTACAACTTTGGATACTATCTAAATGTAAAAATGTACACACTCATGTATGTTCAGGAATGGTTCGTTTCTAGAGCTCACTGGCTGTATCAATTAGAAGGAAAACAATTAATTTCAATGTCAAAGTCAAGAATGAATGAAGCTAAAATGCTTCAAATCTTACTACAAATACATAAGCTAGAAATTCATTAAATACTCATCCAGTAGATGCAACAAACCAAACCACTTTCTCCCATTCACAGTGAGGCAACACATACGCACAGCGAGTAGATGTTTTATGATAGGCGTGAGTTTATTCAGAAGTGAGGAAGGTTCATATCTGCTAGTATGCAGTAGAGCAGGCTAGGGGCGGGGATGACATTTCACCATGTGTTAAGTATGCACAGTGGCCGACTGGAGACCTGAACAGATGGTGACTACAGCTCAGTTGAAACTGTTCATTCCACAGGAGTGTCTGTGTCTTTTAACATTCAAATGTATGAGTAAGAGAAAGTCAGAGAGAATGGAATTGTGTTAAAGAAGGCCGAGACAGACATTCAAACTTTCACAATGCTGCTGCAAAATTAGGCCATAATGCCACCTATTGGCAACCCGCTGATCATACCAATCTGAACTTTTTAAAAGGAGCTAAAGAGTCTAAACACATAATGGAAATGGAGCTGTGAGCCACTAAACCCTCCTACCTGAGCCACAAGGCCAAAGTCATTAGTTTTCAGCTTGGCCTCACGTACAAAAATGGAGGCTAATAGTGCAGCAGCTGGGTTGCAAAGCGAGCACAGCGCATAATATTTAGCAGATGGAGTAAATGTTGTCCAAAAAATTAGTTTCCGGCTGTAAAAAGTCATCAACTGAGACACACAGGAAGACAATGAATGCCATTTTTTTTCTACAGGGAAAACACACGCGCCATGAGGGAGAACTAAAATGAAGAAAAATGAAGAAAAATGAAGAAAAATGAAGAAAATGGGACAAGAGAAGACAGATGCCTTATATAAACTAAACCCTGCATCTCACACATATCATCTATTAGAAAGAAAACATATAAGCATCAATAAGAGAGAGTGAACATGTCTGGACAGTTCATCGGTCATTCACTCATTAGCAGGAAGGTTGAACACCATATACTCTAAATATTTTTCTTATAATAAATGAGAACATGTTTGCTGCTTCTGACAAGTGTTTACCGAGATATATGAGTCAAATAAAGCTAAATTAGCTAGCACTAATTAGGGCTGGTAGCAGTGAAAAGTGTAGAGCAGCTAAGTAATAGTGAAGGTCAGTGTTCCTGATTAAGTGAGCTAAGGACTGAGACAGAGAGGTTTCCACTGGTAACGCAGGGGGATATAACCAATATTAACTTTGCAGCAGCGGCCTAATGCAGTGCTTCTGCACTTATAAGGAGAGATCTTGTTAATAATGCAGAAAACAAGTCCAAATTGCCAAATGAAAATAACATTGGGAAAATTCATTTAGGAGATTCAATGTTTCTTATGTAGACTTTTTTTTCATGACAGTGTGAACAGCACAGATCGCACTGAATCAGATCTTTTCAATTCTAATTCAGACCACTTTCATATGTGGTCCAAATCAGATACAAGTCAGATTGGTGCAAACGGTCACATTGAAATTCATGTGATTTTTTACATCACTCTACAGACATTCGCCATGGCCCGGTCACTTCAGGACTGTGACCTGTTCACAATGCAATCTGATATGGGCCATGTTTAAAAAGTAATGTGAGCAGCCAAGCAAAAAAGATAAATAAATCAGATCAGAGCAATGAATCAGAATTTAGCGCTAAGGCTTGCTGTGTGAATGTAGCCTGGCTGACTTCTAAACAGGGTGTTGTTGCACTTTGAAGCTGTGTACAATATGTCTCTTTTTCATGTAGCGATGTGATCTCATGCTCTATTTTCGCTCACAAACAAACTTCCTCTGCACAGCAAGACGTCTTTTCAGCCCGATTTAAACAAGGGACAATTTTGGCAGCCAGGCACAGGATTTAGGCAAAGGTTGCATAAGCATTGCTAACTTTTTTTTTTTTTTAAACTGAGCAGAGGGAGAGAATTCATTACTGCTGCAGGAGGGATAGTCATCTCTAGCTTTCAAGTTTCATTAAAAATTGAATATGTTCATCCACGTTATTAACATCGCCTCCTCCGACATCTCTGCAGCCTACATTCCTGTAAAGAAAGTCACTTTGAGGTGGATGGGAACTTTAAAGCAAAATGTGGTGATACTACCCATGAGTTGTCTCTTCAAAGGCATTAAGCACTGTGCACACGTACCTGGTTCATTTTTTTTCGGGAAAGCCAGGGGATATTTATGTCAACATGCGTCAACACACCGGTTCTAGCATACCTCCTCACAACAAGAGTGGAGAAAGAGAGGGACAAGTACATGCAGTACACAGGTACAGTACTGCATCTTTCTTACTTTTATCTCATCTAGTCACGCCCCGAGATACAGTACACACACACACAGACATGCACACACACACACACACCTACATCGAGCTACTTTACAGCTTAACTAATGCCGTCACAGATAAAGTGTGTGGAGACCTTCCACATCATCTGGCGGGAGGAAAGGCCGGTACACAACAGCCCCATGGTGAGAATCTGAAAGCACTATTATTATGTCTTCAGAGGCTCTATTTCACACATTGACGACTACATGCCTCTATAGGCTTGGATGTGTGTGTGTGTGTATATTGACTTGCATGAGTGGGGGAGTATATATGCGGCTAGTATGAATGCACAAATACAAACTGCCCACCTGTAGAGATGGCTTTCCATCAGTGGCAGCAGGAGATCGTCCTTAGTTTGGTGAACCGCAATGTACGAAACCATCCACACATGACTCCACAACACAACAACGGAATTTCAAAAAATGTGTGAAGGACTTTTCTGCATTACACTGTCAAATTAATTCAGATTTATGCTCTGCTAACACACATCAAACACATAACATCAATCACATAACATCAATCACACAGGCTCCCTGTCAAGGCAACAGTGTTGATTTGCTCATACAAAGCATCAAATATTTTTACAAAACTTACTCTACCAATTAAAAGTGTCAAATTTTGTACCAGGCAAGGTGCATGTATATATGCATGTACATGGCGGGAGGTTCCATGTTTACCAATATCCATCTACTGTGTCTGTGAGGGATGGGAGTGATAGTTAAAGTGTTTGTTAAACATATTAACTGCAATAACAGAAATGCATTATTCATAAATGGCAGCAGGTGTAATGCTAATTAGTAATTATACTTAAAAAAGGGTTTACTGGTCGATGGTATAATGAGTGGAAAACATACACAAAACAAATACAGTATGGTTTTGTACATGTCTTTTGTTTTGCTGCTTATAAATGCAAATAAGCAGCTGTTGCATGTGTTCTCTGTGTATACTATACATTATAAGTGGAAGTCAAGTTCTATTGTCTCTTTCTCAGCTCTTATGGTGGAAATTAACATGCACAACTGTGATTGTAGAGGAAGACCAGATTATTTAGCTTGAAAAAAATAAATATGAAGCTTCAGGGCATTAAGGTAGACAAACAAGGTAGGGGGTTCCCTTATACAGAATCGGGATTGCATTGATGAGCTTTCTGAGAAACATAGCTGCATGTTTGTTTTGCCTGACAGCACACTGGACCAATTACCACGGCCATTCCAACGAGGTGGTTGCAGGCGAACAGCCAGAGAGAGACAGAGATAGGGTATATGCGAGAGTTTGTTTGTGTACTCTTAGGCTTTACCAACTTGTGGGTCTCACCAGGCTACAAAGTCTGAAGCATCTCTGTGGACAACTGTCAAAAATGTCAAAAAAAGGGACGTCAGCGTGACATGGAGGGAACAGATGTGACAAAGGACAAAAAAAAAAACGAAAGTGCTGCGGGAGCGAGGGAGACAAACAGGTGTGTGAAAGTACAGAAGCTTGTCAGGAAAGAGTGCAAATGGGCGAAATCTGCACTGGATTGTGTGGACTGAGGGTGCGACGGGGAAAAGAGCCGTTTTCTCTCCCACGTGTTTCTATAAATAGAATTTGTTGACAGGCCAGCTCTCCAGTCTGAAGCTGCGAGTACCTGGCTGACCTCAGAATGGCGGCCAGTGTGAAAATGGTCCTGCAGTGGCCGTAGGAGGAAAACACAAAGCACAAACTACGGCTGGGTGCAGGACACGTCCTTCCCTTTTGGATTCATGGACCACCAAGTTGCCAATGAACAAAAAAAAAAAAAAGAAGAGAAAATCATGGTGTTAATGTTCCTGTTTTGCCTCACACACTCTCAGCATGGCCGCCGTTGACTGGAGTGGGACACAAGAAGTTGTCAGGCAGGCAGACAGGATCTTTGGGCTGCCAAGCAAATTGTTTCTATGAAATCATGGCACAAACTTCAAAGCTTTTATCTGAATGAAAAAAGGCTTTTGTGGTATTATTTTCAAGATGCATTAGTGTTTCATACTGTATGTCTGCAGCGTACGCCAGTGTGTTAGGTTATAAGCACTTTTCATTACTTTAATTCTTCCAAAAACAGAATGAACTTAAACGCTGAACAACCTCTTTTAAGACAACATAGACAAAGTGCTTAAAGCGCACAAGAAAAATGGAACTTTGAACATCTACAGTTGCATGACGTGTGCAATGACTCAGGATCTAAGTGGTGCTTTTAAACGTATTACATGGTCTTTATCAGCAGATAGAGATGTGGCTCATACGGAATTTCTTAATAACAATTCAAATAATAGCTACTTTTGTCTTCTTGACCTTTAAAAACATGAGCCAGAAATGACCCTAAAATACACTGACCGGGTCTGACACCATGTGTGAGTGAGAGAGCGAGAGAGAGAGAGAGGAGAAGCGAAGAGCGAGAAGAGAGAGAGCAGAGAGAGAGAGAGAGAGAGAGAGGAAGATACTTACTGCTGCCTGTTGTCTTTTCAGTTTGTCTCTGTACTCCTCCAGCTCCTGCAGGTTCAGCTCAGGTGGGAGTTTCTATAAACACGCGCATACACACACACACAAGGTACTATACAAACAAGCTTATTGTTTGTTTACAATACATCCTCCTACACAGGTGAAAGCGCCCGAGACATTTGCAGACACATCCACAAACACAGTCTTTAAGACCTTCTCACTTCTACAGAGTTGCATTCTGCTTCCAAACACGCGTACTGTTCAGCGTAGTAAGAGTCGCTGCTAGGTGTGTGTGTGCCAGTCCCAGACAGAAAAATATTCAAAAGGTAGAACTATGGCAATATCCAAGTTCTGGCGCTCAGGGCCATAACAGGGATTTCATTTATCTTAAGAGAGCTAATCTTCACTTCTGAGCATCTTAATTTTTCAAAGATATCTCACTAGGCATTTCAAAAGAGCTTAAGCTGGTTTAACTAGTGCGACTGGAGATAGCTGCAGCTCTTCCTCCATTCAAAAAAAACAAAAAGAATTTGCTCAATAAATATATTTTACCAGATCATAAGTCAGATTAGTCAAGAAGGTAGAGGACGTTATTTAGTAAACAGCAAACAAACTCTGCTAGGGAAAGAAAGATATTACAAATCCATGGCCCAAAGGATGATAGGTAATTACTTTCCTCTTGACTGAGAGTCTCATTTCAGATGGTGTAGCAATACCAAGATAAATCTAATGAGATTTCACACCTTTCCTCTGTTGAGCGGATGCAATCCATCAATCCGGATGTCAATGGCACGCATGCGGCTCAGCAGAAGTGTAAGAGACAGCAGCTCAGGTGAGAAAGAGCTTTAACGCTGCCAGTCAGACAAGGTTCAACGCACAGGAAGTCACATTTATTCACATTAGAAATGCAATATTTCTCTTATCAGAATTACTGAAATGTGGTGGGTTTGATGGAGTTATTTTTACGGAGAGGGCGTGGGAACCTGGGAGCGATGTCATGATTTTACAAGTGAGTGGTGCTCATTCAGTCAATAACGCTCATTCATAGAGAGTATCTGACCTCCAGTTCGTGCTGCACCATGTCGAAGGAGTCATTAGAGAAGTAGATCTCCTCGATGCTGTCGATGATCTCCTGCTCCGCCTGGGGGTCGATGGGCTGCTCCCTCAGCTCCCGCAACTCCTCCTGAAAGAGGGCGAGACGGGCAGAGAATTAAAAGACGTCCTTGAAGAAAACACTTTAGAAAGTTCCAGACACACTAGGACACAAACAGAAAAAAGCCCCAAAACACAGAATTACATCATTTCCAAGTAATGGAAACAACAAAAATCTCTAACATAAACATCCAGAAAAATACATCAAAACAGAGGAGGAGAAAATAGGGTAACACAGGGGGAAAAAAGAGGAAAGATGCCAGGGGAATAAACAATAAAGGGGAAGAGATAGGATTAGGGGAACAAGAGGTACAAAGGAGTTTAAAGATAGGGCAAGGGTGAAGGACAAAGTGAAGAGAGGACCGAATAAAAATGAGGCAGAGAACAAGAGGCGAGGAGAGGGAAAGAGGAGGTGTGTAGTGGGAAAAAAAGGGCTTGCAGCTCGTTTCGTTGGACAGCTGTCATGGGAGATGGTAGGCAGCCTTTAGAGGCATGATGAGAAGAAAGGAACGACCGAAGAAATACGACGAAGATTCCCCATCAGAGCAACTTGGAGAAACATCAGAGGCTTATTGATTAACATGCTGTGCATCCGTCGAGGCTTATTGCTACAGTGAGTCTTTCAGATGAATGGTTTTAAACCCACATTCTTAATGAGCCAAGATATAGTCACAGGTCAATAACAAAGTGGTGGGATGGCTGTGGTAGCAATATAAAACGAGTGGAAGTTTAGTATTTAGTCATAAACCATAAAAGTATTGGATAAAATTGAAATTTTAACTTAGAAGAAAAGTCAGGAGGTCATGAAAACTGACCACAAAACCCAACCACAATACTCAGAATCACAATCAACCTCATGGTGGCGCTAGAGGAAAACTCAGGGCATCCCCAAAGTCCTTAGGATTCCTCCTCAGGGGAACATGGATGTATGTAGCAAATTTCATGGCAATCCATCCAACAGTTGCTGAGATATTTCAGTGTGGAGCAATGTTGTGGGCCAACGCCATGCCCATCCCTAGCCTCCTAAATCCTAAATATAGCTAAATGTTACATTTAATCACAATATTAAATCGCATATAAAGAAAACACCTCATGCTAAGTGGCTTCACTTTATGCCCTCAGTGGAAATCATTTATTTAAGGTAATGCTGCTGAGTCTAACAGCTCGTTTGTGTGGGATCAATACGTTGAGGCATCATCACATTAAAGCATTATGTCGTTAAAAATAGTCCGCAGGCTTGGGAACGAGGTGAACCGGGATGGATGTGGAATTATGAGATGAATTAAATCCATGGACGCCCCTATATGCATCCATACTCTATTAAATACAACTATACAAATCTCTGTTTAAGACCTGCACACGTCATCTCATAAAGACTTAATGAGATAGCAGACACTGCTCAAGAGAACCTTGTTACACACCTGCCTAACCACAAATATTTTTCCCAGGTATTATCAGCAAGAAGCGTGCAGCAAGGCAATGAAGTGTGCCACCCATGCAACTGAATCTGCTGCTGTGGGTGAGTGTGTGAATGTAGAATGACACTTATATAGGGCAACGCTACTGTGAGTAATTTTAATGTTTGCAGTCAAATATAGCCACATATAATTCAATTACACCAACAGAATCCCATTTGTATACCATATATACAAGTATATAAGGCAACTGGGAGGACGAAAACGTGCGCATGTGTCTGCGCTTGTGTATGTGTGTGTCTGCAATATAGGACTCTTAGGCAAGTGTGCATGTTGCCCTGTATGAATCAGGTAAAGAAGTGAGCAGGAGGCCTGGGTGAAATGCGTGGGTGAGTCCGTGAGATTGGGTGGAGGTAGGAGATCACACTCTGCCGTCAAAAGGGTGGGTGGGAAATCAGCTCAAATGAGAGGGAAACGGGGAGGGTGGGGGGAGTTTGAGGCAGATGACTCATTGGTAGCAAAAGTTAGAGCAGAAAGAAAAAGACAGAGGAGTGAGCGAAACAAAAGACAATGATGTGGTGCCTACTGTGATGCCACTCCAGTACGGTTAGAGCAATTCACCTCCCCTGTGTCGCTGCCTTTCTCTTTTCCCTCTCCCCGCCTCAGACTCCCACTCGCAGTGGCGTGAGAAACTCTAAACACCTTAAAGTGAATGACTTATTGAGAGGCCCCCTCGCAGGTTAAATAATTCCCTCCCTTCCCCGCCGCTGCATGGGTTACAAAACGAAGCAGACGCCGGTGTGCCCCACGTGTGAATCCCCGTATCAGCCGCTGTGGGGCTTTGATCAAATTTCACTTTGAAGGATGAGGGACAAACAAACCACCCTTCATCCCCCTCCTGCAAATTAATGAAATTCTCATCTCATTGCGGAAATTAGAAATCTATTTGCATCCGAAGTGCGGGACATTTAACAAGCCTTATCAAAGAATCACGGTGGATATTTGTCTGGAGTGCTGATTGAATGTGGAAAAATCAAGCGCGGAACAAAAAGGTGCTCAACAACACGGGGCCCTGATAAAACCAGAGACTGAATAAACAATAGGAGGTTCGCGGAAAATCCTGCGAGACATTGGGTAGAGAAAGACAAGGGGAGAGAAGGGGCCAATTATTTCCACTATGGAATCATTCATCAGATGAACAAATCCAAACCTCCTCATTGTAATCAGCATTGAATATTTATGGCAGGTGTAGCCTGCCTGTATATCCTCATCTGCTCCAAAACAAGGGTTTAACGCTGTCATCTTCTGGGACATTAGGACGCAATCACAGCCAACAGCAAATACCCAGCCTGCACCACTCCTGTCAGCTGCTCAGTTAACAGGCAATACTGCTGAATTTTTACTTGGAAGTATGGGACTATTTCTCCTTCTCCACTGAGTATCACTGAGCCAAAAGCGAGGGGCTTCTCTCTATCAGTGTGGTCATGCAGTTGTTTTAATATATGTACAGTCAGGTCCTTGGAAGCATAATTAGACAATATCTTATCGGAGACAAACCTCATTGGGTCACCTAAGGCCATAACACATGTGAAGTGTCAAAGTGAGCTGTGCCCCCAGCCTCCAGACAGCCTGAGATGACAGGTTATCAAGCACGCCCTCCTCACAGCTTCAGGCCCAGTGCCGATCTTCAGAAAATACATACTGCATACTGGAGGTATTCAGCCAATCATATTCTTCAGGAATATCTTCAGGAAGTATTGCAATAATGAGCAGGAAATGTACACAGCTTGTGTAAGCGAATGGGTTTTTTTTGTGTGTGTGAGTGAGTTCTTTGAAACTGATAAGATAAAAATGTGTAATGAGTAAACTGAGGCTGACCCCTGCTGGTGTGAAACGGTAACTGCATGTACCACGAGCACTACCTGCGGGGCTGTACCACTGTTTGCCTGAAGGAAACTGAAGCCTCCGGGGAAAAAACCCACCGCTCCCAACATTTCCCTCAACAGCGTTGAAGTTAAATAGAACATTTCTCAGGACCACACAGATATTATGTGCCAGCTTCCTCTGCTAAAACTGTATCGCACTTAGAGTTAGGGCTGCAATGGAAGATTATTTTCATTATTGATGTGTCCAAAACCAAGAGATACTGAATTTCCAATGATAGAAACAAAACACAGCAGTACATTCTCACATTTGGGAAGCTGGAACAAGCATGTTTG